AACAGTACAACAATTATACTTGGACTCAAGTCAATCATCAGGTTTTTCTTTCTTTCAGTTTCAGTTTGTGAGGTAAATAAATCTGTTTCGTCCAGGTAGATGGTGAAAAAACGCTTAATGAAAACATTGCTGACAATGCTGCATTAAAACAAGCTTTCTTCGTAAGTTTTATCATTCACTAATTCGAATTTTAAACTTGTATATTTTCAAGGCGTATCAACAGTGGGCTAAGACTCATAAAAATGTTGACAAGAAGCTCCCAGGTCTAGCCAAATATTCAGCAGAACAAATGTTCTTTCTCAGTTTTGGTCACATATGGTGTACGAAAATGACAGACCAAATGGCGAATACTTATATGCTAATAGATACACACTCACCATCTCAATTCAGGCAGAGTTTTTTTTATACATCTCCTTGTACTATCTAAAATATTTTTTGTTTTTAGAGTACTTGGTCCTACGTCGAATTTTGTTGAGTTCGATAAAGCTTTTGGCTGTAAGCCAGGTCAAGGCAATAGTCGAGTGAATAAGTGCAGCATGTGGTAGTGTATTGGTACTAATGTCTAAATTAATCATGTCGAGAAAGACATTAGCAGACATACGCTCTTGTATCAAATGTTCCCTATGATAGAGAGTGTATAGTCTGCTTCATTTTTTTCATTTATTCTCTACAGTTTATTTTAGTTTTTTATTATTCAATTATAATCGAGATTCATTCTTTGCTTTCAGAAAGTTGCTGATCATTTGCTAAAGTTTTCTTCAAAACAGCGTGAGATTGATGCGTTACTTTATGACAATTTTGTCTGGACAATAGTTCGATCCATAGAAACGCATAAGTGAATTATTTTTTTAAAGAAGCGAAAAGTCAGAAAGCAGTACACTCTAAGACGAAAAAAATTCTTTACAAAACCTAAAAGATTCTTCCCTTGTACATATGGAGAGAATCTTTTTTGGTTCCCTAGAAAAAAAAGAGTCCATGACGGAAATAAATTATAAAATAATTCAGATTTATGTAGATTTTGCATTGAACCTTCAATACAATCAATATTAGTAATTGTATTATTTGATTCATTATAAAGCATCAGTCTGCAAGAAGGGTGTAGGTGTGGGTGTGGGTGTGGGTGGGTGTGGGTTCTAGGGGTGTCATATTATCATTACCGGTAATAAGTAATAATTAAAAACACTATTACTTATTACTGATAATTAGCAATAATTTTACAAAGTAATCAAAGGAATCAAAGGAATAAGCAATACAGGAATTACTAGTAATAAGTAATAAAGTCACAAATGTTCTTACTAACTACCACTAATAACTAATAACCTCGAAAAAAGTAATAAAATAATATAGTAAGTAATAAGTAATAAAATTTAAAACATAATAAAAGTAATTAGTAATAAAGTTATAACAAAGTAGTGCATATATCGCAATTAAGAAACAATAATACATCTATGGTGTGGATGTGGGTGGGTGTTGATTTGGTGTGAGATTTTCTAGGTATAACTATGATTATCCGCTGTACCTGTAGCCACAGAAAAGCCCACTCTCACACCCACACCAAGAACATCTGCAAAAAAATTAGACGACAGATAGTAAGTGATAAAAGATATGTATGAGATAGTAGATGGGACGGCTTATTAATTGAGCGCAAACATTTTCTTTACTGGAAAATAAGTGGTACAATTTATTTATCATCGTTCTCAAAAGATTAAATAGTCTTATTGTCAATGATCAGTGAAACAACTAAAAACATTACGATTCAATAAAACACATTTCTGTCATGTTGAATTCTTTTATACAGTTAAAAGTGAAAACAGCTTTTCAAGGAATATCGTATTCTATAAAACAATATTTTTTATCTACTAAAAATTCTATGAAGAGATATACTTTTCACTTCAGAAACAATGAATTCGACAAATCCAACTATGATGACAAAATCATTTTAATGAATCTTCTTTTTACAAAAAGTACTTGAATATTTTCAAAATTAAATTTTATGTCTGCTCTGTTTATCATAATAGAGACGAATGAAGAAAGCGAGTTATATATACAATTATTGAATACAACGCATCATTCGATTTCGTCGTGTTTCTTCTATCATTACTTCGTCTATAAAAATTTATATTTTTTACACTTTTAACTGATGTGATTTAAAAAATCAAATTCGATCGATTACTAGTTGATCTTTCAACATCGAATTATTTTTTTTTATCTATATAATTTTTAATTCTTTGTTAACATAAGATTTTCATTGATATGCTTCTATTAGATTTTTTAAGAAAATTATTGATAAATTATTATCTCATTTGTTTTATTTTTTTAATACGTTTCTCAAAAGGAAAAGTTAATAGAAGTTTATTTTTCTCAAAATAAATATAAAAAAGACAAAATTTTAATGCAATATGTTCAGTTACATATGATACGATTTCCAGGAGAGCCTTCAGGAACAATAACCATTCTTCGACGTTGATAAAATAACAGTTTCTCCAATTTCTCCTTGAGTTTAGGTAATGTTCCTAAACATACACAAGGAAAAAGAAATACAATGTAATAAGAGAAAAAATAAGCATATAACATAAACTCTAATCATACAGCTCTTGATACTCAAAATTGATAAGATATATTTAAAAATATACTCATGGAGCACGAAAAGTTATGAAAGCATCGAAACAGATAATAATTGTATTGTCATTTTTCGTTGTTTTCTCCAATGTATTGATCGATGTAAACGAGATTTTTGCCATAAAATACGGATTAAAAGAGATAACCTAAATATAATTATGATAAATATTGGAATTGTTTGATGACATACAAGCTCCCATATTGAAATCATATTTACATAATAATATATACATGGAAATGGAACACCATAAGCAGGTAATCGATAAAATATATATGGACAAAATGAAGCATATATTATAATACAATAATAAATAAAACTGTATAGAATAAGTATCATTAATGAAAGATAATGAATAAAGAAACGCCTTTTTCTATTTACAGCAGTGTCACATATCCAAAATTTTGGAGATGCATCCACGTCTAGCGCGGGAGATGCAGCATTTACTGCGAGACATGTGAATGTGGTTGTGGGGGATGTGCATCTCTAAAGGAGATAATACATCTCCAGTGGAAAATGACCGCGCCTCCTGAAGGAGATTCCGTGTCTCCCGTGGAAGATGCGGCATCTCCTGCAAGAGATGTGGGCGCATCTCCAAAATTTTGGATATGTGACACTACTCTTTAGAAAAGTATTTTATTAATACCAAGGTGTATTAATAACAGATTAATTAAAAATTAATGACATCAAGATTTTAATTAACAAAGAAGAGTTTTGTACTATAATTTAAGAAAATTGAACATATCCCCTTCGACTTAGCACTCTTAATACCAAACTATTAAATTCAGAACATGAACTACCTATGGCATATCTCGCTGCAAATCTTCGAGTTTTAAGGTTCTCCCATCGATATAAACAAAAACTGGTGCGGATGATCGATTAAAATCATTCACTTTTAATCGATGATAATCAAAGAAATAATTGAAAGTATCAAAATTTTATCGATTACTGTTGATTACTTTTAATTAAAACCGATTTATTAGTCATAAAAACATCGTTTATAATTAATATAAAAACAAAGAAAAAAGAGAATTCAATTTCTATCGTTTATAGACTCACACGAAATCAATTAAAAATTATCTTTTGGACAACTTTTTAAATTGATTTAAATCCAATTTTTTTTGCATGGGTTTTCTTGTGTAGTCGATTAACAGTTTACCGATAATGAGTATTCAAAATCTAATTTAAACTTTATTCAGCAGTAGTGTCCTTCAAATTTTGACTTCTTATTAAGTTTTGCCACCTGTATGAATGATACGATAAACATCAGATTTATTTAGTCCAGCGGCGGATCTAGGATTTTTTTGATAGGGGGCGATTTGATAGATATGGGGCGATTTTGACCAAAGATCGAGTTTTGAAGTTCATTAGTAGTAGTATGCACTCTATTTTTAAGTCTTTTCTGCTGGGAAAAATCGAAAATTTTTTTTTTCGAATGGGGGCGATCGCCCCAAGCGCTCCTCCCTAAATTCGCCACTAAATAAAGAAACAGTTCGAGATAAACGTATACAAAACTGTAAATCCAATCGTCATAGCAAGTAGACAAGTTGTGATAAACTTTATTGATGTAAAGAATATTTTTGACAAACTCAAATTTTTGACAAGGAGATTCACCATAGACATTTGATTAGAAAACTATAATGAATATAAAAGCACATCATCCGATTGATGTTTTTGTTATAGCAAAGCATTAGTGAACAGAATGAACTGTAATAGAAATAAAAACCATAGATTACTTTGTTCCAAGTAAACAGATGTAAGTAACAGACTTAACACAAGCCATGTCTTTCTTAACCAAACGATGATGACAATGTAAATATTTATGATGCTACCATCGACTGAGTACATTAGAACTTCAAATTAAAACGTTGCTAGGAATCTAATCTACACTTACATATTACCAAAGTTAGTTATTTCTTCACAAAAGTGAAACATAATCGATACAACAATTTTGTAATTTTGTAACAAGTTAAAGTTAGCATGAGCTTGATGGTGCATTCTTACATATAAAATAATGCTCATTGCAGGCAAATAAAGCAACAAAGAGATGCTACATTGCTCGGTATAATGTAGGCTATGCCAGTAGTAGTACAAATAAACATGTGTTATGACAATGCCTAAACGTTTAGAGAGCAGACGATGGGCTCTTTTTGTTGCTGCATATAGAAGAAAAAGCTCAGAAAACTATATAAAATTGTAATTCCATAATTAATATAGACTTTAGAAATATTATGAAATCAGAAGTGATAATCTAGGATTTATTCTCTTTTTTTAATCATTTCTGTCTTAAAAGTAGTAATGGAATGGTGTACATGTTGACATACAAGTAGAAAAAAGAACTTGATTTGAAACTCGTTGGCAACGCTAAGAGTTTTATGATGAATTAATTAAGTTTGATAAGTGGAAATTTCGGTTGAGTTTCTCTCCATTGAATAATATGAAGCCCATTGCCTGGATCAAGACAGCCAATGACTTCAAATTGACGAGCAGGAAGCAGCAATATTTCGTCTTCTTCAGCATAAAATGAATGTGATCGAATGTTTTTAGCTGATTGACAGTCAATACTAAAGAGAGTCCGTACTCCTTTGTTGCCCAAGAAACGTTCATTCTTAAGCGTTTCAATTGATAGAGTACACGAAGAAAAACCCCACCAAACAATTCTACTTCCTCGGACATATTGAGCAGTCAAATTCGATTTGATGCCTCGATAGACAACATGACGAGTTGATGGAAGTTTCTGAAGAGCATTAATAACAAGTCGAAGATATAAAAACCATGGTTTTAGCTCTTCACGTGTGCTTGCTCGTAGAGTAGCATTGAGCATTACATAGAAAGATTTTTCGTATGGTTCCTATTCCATTGTATAAAGCATGATAGAAGCTGATTCATCATTGGTTAAACCATCTTTGGGATCACTGCAATTCTGTTTATCAAACCACACCATTTGTTCAACATCTGGAACGAACGAGACAATAGGATTAATAGCTTCTTCAAGGGAAACTAAAGGCATTTTCTCAAAGCCTTGAATTGGTAAAAGCATTTGCCGTGGTTCGGTAGCAAGAGCAGAGAATCGATGAGTATGGCCTTGTTCATCAACATTGTTAGATATTTTATTAGAAGTTTGACCTGAAAAGAAAAGATGCGTGACATATAAGCCATTTGCCAACAATCTATTTAACAATTAACAAGAATCCTTTGAGCTAAAGTGTTGAAAAATGAATATTACAGCAGATAAAACGCGCAGCTCATTGATCGATAATTTAGCAACTCACAGCAGACTCCTGAAAATGTTGTCAGCATAAGAGATATGAGTTCAGAATGATTTCAAAAGAAAATGCAACACCTTAATATATCAGTCTAATATTTTATGGTCAAAGAACTGTTTTGTCTTCAGTCAAATCAAGTAATTAAGATAGAACTCGAGAGCAAGACGTTTATGATTTAAATGCGTACATAAAATCGAACGATGAGACACTCTTTGGATATCTAAAACGTTTCGTACTGCTTAGACATAAACTCGTTATACAATAAGAGTTAAAATATATTTAGTAAGAAAGATAGAAGGGTTTTCTCAAATTCTTCTTATGTTTGTCTAACTTGATTGGATCAACTTTCCATGCTAGCTATGAAACTGTCCTAGGCAATTAGTAATCATTTTTGAGTCAAAATATGCAATACATTTTTTAATTTCTATTTCATTTTTCGTAATAGTTTCTTATCCATCACTATAGATTTTGAATGGATCCAGAAAATCCAACAGTAAAACAAATGAATATAGTTGTGATCTTTGAAATAATGATGGAATTTACCATAAGTAGTCGATGAAGATGCATTTGATGTTGATGAAGCTCTACTCGAATTTGTTAAAGATACATAACCAGGTGAAATTCTTGAAAAAACAGGTGGAGATTCACTGAATGACTCAGACAACAGTTGTAATAAAGTGAATAAATTACTTATAGGCTAAAAGAAACAAATATTATTAACTTCGTAAATGAAGGTGATATTACATAATGCCATGATCTAAGATAAAGTAAAACAACAAATCCATCTCGGTGGACATTAATCGACATAGGAGCAATGAACATGTCCGATGTTGGTTTCACATAAACTAATGATGGTACAAAAGGATGATTTTCTTGTAACCAAATTTGAACTGGAATATTGTATCTTTCGCCTTTATATAGGGTAGTAATTGTGCCACATAGATACAGCAACTCTTTTAAAATAGCATTATCATAACAGTAAAACGCTATTTTTAAATGTAGA